TAAACTCCTTGCTTTTAAAATTAATAATATAGTAAGTTAACTTTATTTATCCCTTATGAATACTACTAATATCTTGTATACATTATAGAAATTTATTTATACCTCTTACCACTAATTTTATACATTCAACCCGATGGGGAAACTGGGCTATGTCGGCAAAGACTTGGAAGTCAGGACAACCATTTAAGTTATAATTTTTCCCCTCTATCATGCTTTGACAATTATTTAATATTTCCTGGGCAAATTGTAAATTTTTATTTTCCAAAGAAGCACAAAGTATATTAGCAGCAGCAACTGTAATAAGGCAAGATTGTTGACCAGAAAATAAGCATTTTTCAAGGTAATCATTTTTTTTAACTATTATTAATAAATGAAGAACATCGCCGCAACCTTTATCCAAACTACGGAAAGTTGAAAAGGGCGTTTGCCAATTATTACTAAATTTTTTTAACTCCTCAAATTCTACTTGCTTGCTAGGATGGGTGTAATTATCCAGTATGATTTTCCTTTTTTCTTCTGGTGCATAAAGCATATTTATTTTTTTGGCGGAAGTGAGAGGATTCGAACCTCCGCGGACGCTATGAATATCCCTACCAGCTTTCCAAGCCGGCCCCTTCAGCCTCTTGGGTACACTTCCTTTTTATTCTATGGTTATTAAATCTGCCTTAATTAATTTTTGAAAATCAGAACTCATTCACTCCCAAGCTACCAGTTCCACTTTAAAAGGCAAATCCGATTCTTCAAAATCTTCTTGAATATGACTAAGAACATTCCAAGGTATTTTTCCATAAAAACAAAGGTCTAAATCGGAATATTTTTTGGCTTGGTTTTTAACCCGAGAGCCATAAGCATAGAACTGATAAGGGTATTTGGAGAGAATTGAATGAACAATTTTTTGATGTCTAGCTTCTATTTGTAGCATATCGAGGTTCTTCTTTTTTTATTCTATTTAATAAATAATCTAAATCTTGCAAAAATTCTTTGGCAGTGTTAGCAAATAAATCGTCTAAAATCTCTGGTTGATAGGCGTGAACCGTAATATTTCTTTTTTTGATATAAGCAAACCATTTCTCAGCATCAGCCAATAATTTTAGCCGAGCCGCTTCCCGAAAAACATCGCGAGCAGCACCTACCTCTATTCCCCGAAATTCCAAGATTTTTTTCATTATTTTTCACGATAATTCGTAGCAAATCTCAAAAGCTTTCACTACTCCCATTTTCTCAGCTTCGTTTTGGGAAGTTTGCAGAATTCGGTTCAAGGTATTACGAACCCTTACCAAAGAACTATAATCAACTTCGCCATAAAGATATTGTTCTGCCATATGATTATTTTTTTGTCTTTATATTTCTTCTATTTCAATAAAATCTTCCTTCTGAAATAATTTTTTGCCTTTTTCACTCTCTTTTCAAGAAATTTTGACAGAGCGAAATTGTTGTTTTTTATCTATCAAAATTTGTCAGGAAAAAGAAGATTTCTTAAAAGTAGGGTTTTCATGACTAACTTCAATATATCTTTTTTTTACTGCCATCCGTGAAGTAAAATATGTGACATGGTTTGCCGTCGGCTATTGTAGGTCCGCAAAAACCAGGTGTAGTTACACATTAAATTTAGCAATTAGTTCTTTTGCTTTTTGGTTTATTTTATCTTTATCTCCCACTTGTTCGGCAATGGCTCCGGAAATTCCACCCCCAAATTGGACTTGGGTATTAGCTGCATTGACAATTACACTGGCTCCGTGTATTCTTTTGTCTCTAATATCTCCTCATTCAAAAATCATAGTTTTTGCCGGATTTTTAGCTATTTCAATTACTGAACCACTGCGGTGCTTGCCAAACCAACTCTCGTCTTCAAGTTTGCCAAGTGCATTTAAAAAAACTTGACGATTTTTGCGAGGAGTTTTGTTGTCGTGCCAGTCTAAAAAAACAATTTGTTGTAAATTTTGGCACTCTGCTAATTGATTAACCGTTCCACACATTATTCCCTCCGCTAATTTTTCTGGGTCGCAACTGCCTAAATAAATCCCACCACCAACCAACGGAATAGCCAACTTTTCAAATTTTTCTCTATCGGCTAAAATAATCGAATTTTGAACGGATTTTACTACACAATTAATAAAATCTTCATCGCTCTTAAAAAGGTCTCGGGGTCAAGGAGTCGCATGAATAATATGAGTAATTCCCTGGCTATTAAGAGTTGATGAACCCCCATCTGAGCCATCTAAAGTGTCGGTTAGCAAGGCTGAACCAGGTAATAAACTATTCTTGTTAGTTTCATCAAGTTTGCTATAATCAGTTCCTGCGGAAGAAATAGGCAAATGAGGATTATGTTTGTATTCTCTTTCCTGCTTAGTAGGTATAAGTGCGGAATAAGTAGCATTGGCTGGTGGCTGTTGGGGCGGGATTGGATTTGGCAACTCCGGATTTCCCTGCTTGTTCTTAATTAACTTTTTTGCTCGTTCCAGAATATTATCGAGTTGTTCTGGTTGGGAATTATTAATTTCTTTTTTTAAATTCTCTTTTTCTGTTTTTGAAACTAAATTTCAATTCGGTAATTATTCTAATTTTTGCAGATAATTTTGTCTTTCTTGATTAATAGAGTTAGAAGTTTGGGTGCTAAAGTTATTTTTTTTGCTATTTCGTACAACGGAGATAAAAATTAGCGTGAAAATACCTCCTATTATAGCAAATAATAAAAAAAGTTTACTACTTTTTTTCATAATAAATATTGGTGGATCCAGTCGGTTTCGAACCGACCACCTTCTGTGTGCAAAACAGATGCTCTACCAAATGAGCTATGGACCCCTAATCCATATTTATAATTTATTGTAGAAACAACGAATTAGTGGCTATTTTTGTTTTTTTAACCTTTTAATTTTTCTAACTTTTATGGAAACAGCAAGAAGAGCGGAAATTACTATTAAAAATCCTCCTACAATTAATAAATTTTTACTATTGTCGCTTGGTTTTTTTTCTTGCGTTTCATTTTCTTCGCTTCGTAATCTTGTCAATGAATTTTCTACTTCCTTTATATTATTTTGATAAGCCTGCTGGTTAAATCGATTCTGTTCTTTGATGAAGCGAATAATTTGTTGTTTGGCTCCCTCTTTTTCCTTGGCAGTTTTGGCTTGCCAAGCAATTGCTAATAATTTTTTTAGTTCATTTTCAGCTCCTTTTTCGCCAATTTTTTCCATAATTTCCTCTTTATCAGCGTTAATTTTGGTCGGATCAGCAGTTTCCCCATTGTTTATTTTTTCCCATTTTTTTCTGGTTTCTTCGCCTAGGTCTTCGGGTCGTAGTTTAGTTTGGGACATTTTTTCCATAATTTCTTTTTTGGTAGTTGTTTGGTGTTTTTCGGGACTTAATTCACCAAGTTTATTTTCCAGATTTCGAATTATATCTCTTTTTTCTTGGTAAAGAGTTAAATAACTAAGTTCACGAATTTGTTTGAGTGTGGCTTCTAACTCTTCATAATTGCCATTTTTAGTTTGGGCTTGTTGAATAAGATTTTCCAATTTATCATTATTAGTTTTAGCAATCCTTTTTTGCTTAATTTCTTCCAACATTTCCTCTTGCAGATTATTAATTTCCTTTTCATTAGTAGCTTTTTGAATTAGTTCTTTTCAATTGGGTTTCGATAATAATTCACTTTTCGAAATTTTTGGTTCTTGGTTGAGGGCAGCGGCAATGGCAGTGATGGCTTGGTCGTGCAGGGCGGGAAGATTAGATGAGTTTGATTGAGGTTTAGGATTATTTGTTGTTTTTGGTGGAGTATTTGGCGGAGGATTGTTGTTCCCTTTATTATCAGTTGGCGGTTTATTATTTTGCTCTTGATTTTGATCGTTTGTTTTGGTTGAATTTGGTTTTGGAGAAGTATTATTTTCTGAATTTTGCGAAGTATTATCAGCAGCGGGAGTTTGAGTAGAGCTTGATGAATTATTGGCAGTTGAATTTGAAGTAGTTGGTGGGGTTCAGTTTGCTTTCTTTTGCAGTTTTTTTCTTAATTCTTCTAACGCTTTACCCAAACGATTTTTTCCGCTTCCTGGCTTTCCATTAATTCTACCACTACCTCAATTAGTATCTTTATCAGAAAATTCAATTATTTTTTTGCTGCCAGTATCCATCAAAAGTTTTTTTAAGTCTTCGTTCTGGAACTTTTTTTCTAACACTCACGCCATAACTTTTGAACTAACTTTATCCCATCAATTATGGTCATATTCTTGAGAATGAGTACCGGTTCGTCCATTTGCCAATTTGAATACACCTCCAGCATATTTTTCTTCGCGTATTATTTCTGATAAATCTGTTCTAGCAGACTTGACTCCGCCTCCAACAAATTTTATCGCTTGAAAAAGATGTTCGCTGGTTTTTCATTCTTTTATCTGAGAAGGGTCATTATTTTCCTCAATTGCTCCCGCTGAGTTTATTTTCGGCAAAGCCACCTTAATGGGACAGTCGGGTGGCAGACTATGATCATTTGACTTGTTGTGATAGAAATTAGTGAATTCATAATAATTATTTCCACTATCATAAAATCAAATTTCGCTTTCTGGTTGATTTGGATATTTTTTTTTTTGGTCCAGGTTCATAATTTTATTTATTTTATATAACTTCTATTTTACATTTTATATAACATAAGCAACTTTATATTTCTACAAAAAAAAATATACTCTTGATTGATAAACCAGCGGGAATTACTTCGCACTGAGTTATTGAAATTATTCGGCGGAAACTGAATATAAAACGAGTAGGTCATGCCGGGACATTAGACCCCTTGGCCACTGGTTTGTTGGTAATTATGATAGGTCAAGTCACTAAATTAAGCGAGCAATTAATTAGTCAATTCAAAACTTATGAAGTCGAAATGAAATTGTATGTTGAAACTGATACTGGTGATATTACTGGCAAACTAACCAAAAGTGAAAAAGTGCGAGTGTTGGAAAAAACTGGTTCAAGATACTCTTATTTTAAAAGCACTTACCGATAATCAAGTTACTTTTTTAGCCCAAACTTACCAATTAGAGTATCAGGCTATTTGTCAAGAGTTTTTTCAAGCCAAGAAAAATTTGTGCTGGTCAGCGAGCAACAATGAAAAATAACCAAAAATATTTTATCTGAGGAATTAAAAGCGATGGTTTTGCTTAAAGATAAAGCGGATATTGAAAAAAGTTTGGTGAATTGATTAGAAGAATGTTAAATTAAATTTATTTTTATTAATTTTTTCCCTTTAATCGTTTTTTTCTCCAAATTAAAACACTAGTTATCATTAATCCCAGTAAACTAATTATTAGTAACGGAACCAGTGCTTTTTTTCAGAAAGGACTTTGGGTGCTATCTTGCAATTTTTCTCCCCGTAATTGTGCCAACAATTCGTCTACCTCATGTTTTTGTTTTTCATAAGCCTTGCTTTGGTACTTATTCTTAATGATAAATTGTAATATCTCGGTTATTATCTTGTCTTTTTCCTTTTTATTTAGATTACCTTTTTTGAGTTTCGTTCAAGTTTCGGTTAAAAGGTTGTTTAAATTATTATTGGCTCCGTTTTGGGCGACTTTTTCTTTGGCGATAGCCACCTTTTCGGGAGTTGGGTCTTGCTTAGCCTCAGCCAGTGCTCGTTTAGTTTCATCATCCATGTTGCTCTCAGTTAGTCCGTTATTTTTTACTTGTTCGTCAAGTGATTTCTTTACTGTCTCTTTAAACTTTCCCGGGTCAAGTTTTTGTAAGTGGCTTTCTACTGCTTGAATTTCTGATTTTTTTTCTTGATAAGCATCCGAAGAGAATAATTTTTGGATTTGTTTCAGAATTGCTTCTAGTTTTTCATAATTATTTCAATTCTCTTCTTGCTTGGCTTGGATTAAGAGTTCATTGAGCTGATTTTTTTCTTGCTTAGTAATTCTTTTATTTTTAATATCGGCTAAAACTTGGTCACGTACATTTTTAACTGCACTTTCTGTTTGGGCTTCAGTAATGTCGGCTTTTCAATTCTGATTAGTTAATTCACTTTCAGCAATGGAGGGTTGCTTTGCTAGTTCAACCTGAATTTGATTAATTGCTTCCTGCCGTAAATTATTCAGATTTTGGTTCTTGTCAGAACCACCCCCGCCTCCTTTGGATTTGGCTTGACGTTTCTGCTTAATGTCGGCTAAAACGTTGTCTTTAATTTGATTAATTTGGTCTTGGTCATTAGCGTTTTGAATGTCAGTTCCTCAGTTTTGATTGCTTGAATCTAATTCCGAAGTTTTAATTTCAGGGTCTTTCAATAATTCACCATCAATTTCGGCAATAGCCGCATTTTTGGCAGTTTGCAGAGGGTCAGGAGGATTACCTTTTTTAGCATTTCGTTTATTTTGAATGTCCGCCAACACCCGATTTTTAATAGTAGTAATTTGGACTGGGTCAATAGCATTTTGGATGTCATTTCTTCAATTTTGGTTAGTATTTTCTAATTCCAAATTAGTTATTATGGGGTCCTGGGATAGAGCATTGTCAATAGCCGCAATCGCTGTATCTTTTTCTGCTTTAAGTGGATCAAAACCGTCGCCATAACCCATTCCCTGGCCACTTTTTTCTCTTTTGTGTTCCTCCGAGCAGAAAATTAAGCCATCATCTCCTTTCGTCCAGTCGCCCCCATCACTTTCTTTTTTAATCCTATGACACCTAGCACAACGTTTCACATTTACTCCTTGGGATTGGAGGTAATTATATAAACAATATTCCGAACAACAGGCTTGCCCTGCGGCGTTGAACTTTACTCACTTTGCAGTGAAGAATTTATTTAAACGACAGCCCGGACAAATTTTTTTTTGTTTAGGAGGTGGAGGTGGAGGACCACCGGCTTCGACATAACCATGAACTTCTTGAGTGTAATCATTAGCAGTCTCTCATTTCTTCGCTTGTTCTTCGGTGCAAAACCAACGCAGACTTATTGGTGATAAATAGGAACCATCTCTCTGGATGAATCTTCCTCTACCTGACGGCTTCCCATTAGAATTATAATAAGTATAATTCATACAATCTTCACACAAGCACTGAAACATGTTATCAGTAATACTGTCATATTTATCTCATTGTTTTTTTAAGATTGCATCAGTAAAAATTTGATAAGAATCGTTGACGTCATTTCAAGTTAATTGCTCCGCTTTGGTAATTGGTCCTCTGCTGCCTTTTTTTGTTTTTCTTGAATTTTGTCAGGATGAAATTTTAAGGATAATTTAAGATACCTCTTTTTAATATCGCCACTGGAAGCATCTTTCGGAAGCCGAAAAACTCTATAAATATCAAGTCTGAAATATGAATTAGGTTCTGTCATGATTTATTTTAATATTAGATAAGAACCCTTTTGTATTTGGTTCTTACTGTTTTTTTTTTTTTTTTGCTGGCATGGTATATTATTATTTATTCTTTTGGTGGATCTTGAAGGACTTGAACCTTCAACCGCCCGGTTATGAGCCGGGAGCTCTAACCAATTGAGCTAAAGATCCTTTTATTAATAATTTTTAGTTAAATATTTTGTCTAATGGCAACATAACTACAGGTTTTAATTCAATATCAAAAAGTCCTCAAAAACTATTGAATGACTTAGCAGAAATAAAGCGGGTTTCTAAATCAGACCTCAAACACTTCCTCACTCAAGACCACACTTCCTTTTCAGTCCTTTCAGTCTCCACCAAGCACATTGAATCCACTAACCGCATCTCAGTTACCTTATCTAAAAACAGTGCCCAATCTTTTTACTTAGATAAACCTAAAAACCATGCACAACAGTTTACTAACCAAAAGCAATTGCTCCTGTCATTTTATCAACCCCCACAAAACCCGAATCCTGATGTGAAAAGAGAGGAGACCTGACTCCGAACTTTCCTCAAAAGAAGTCAAAGCTGACCAGACTACTTACCATTTAAGAATTGGCATCCAAAAGTTTAACTCGCAAGAACAAATTGACCGTAATAACGAAATTTACTGACGATTTGGCAATTCGGAAAAGATTGAAGAAATCAAGGAAGCAGCATTTACTGCGGAACTTTCTCAAAAGAAGAATCAACCAAATCCGAACTAGATCCGATTACTAAATTTCACCAGCGACAAGCCCAAGCGGAAGAATTCACTCATGAACGAAATCCAGAAAGTAATAACTCCTAACTTAATTAGCACCGTGCAAACTTTAAGCACTAGTTTAGCGGTTCTGAAACCCAATAATTTTGAGACTACCCAATTAATCACTTACACCCTAATTGCCACCGCTCTCGTGGGAATATTTGTTTATCACTATATTAAAAATCAAGAAAACATTTAAGCAAAATGGTAAATTGAAAAGACTATCTTCCCGATTTTAAAGGAGCCTTAACCGGTTTTTATGAAGAAAATTTAAAAGGAACTATTGAAACTAAGTCTCAGGAGTTTAAAGAACTCTTGCAAAGAAATATCACTTATGGTCAAAAAACCCAACGAGCTTTAGTGGCAATTGCTTTAGGAATATTCTTTTTACTCCTGATTGCTGCTTTTTGAAAATAATTAACCCGCCCTTTCGTCTTAGTCTCACCAAACACTAACTAAACAAATCAAAATACAACCTAAAAATATGAATCACGAATTAAACATGAGTTATCGCTTCAAGTATCTAGCCATTGGTATTGTCACTTATGTGGTAGCCACTTATGCTTGAAAGTTATACCAAAAAAACGAATAAAATTATGCTAACTAAATTAAAAGAACACAAATGAACTGTAATCGCTGTTGTTTTGGTAGCAATAGCCATCTATTACTTTTACCAAAAGAACCAAACTAACTAGTTTATGACTCACCGAAAAACCAAAGAGTGTGTGGGTTGCGGTGACTCTTTCACTACTTACCGCCATTATGATTACTGCACAGATTGTGCTATTAACAATAATCGCTATCTCAGTAAAAGTAATTGCGCCGAGTGCGATGGTTCCGGAACAATTAAATTCCGTGGTCACCAGCCCCGCCCCTGCAAACTTTGTCATTTAACCAAAAATATGAATAAAAAAGTAACTACTAAACAAATTGAACAACAATTCTG